TTTAAGGCAAATTTGAAGCCCTTCTATTTAAAACCTTTTGTTTACTCAAGATTGAGTCTTTTGCTGATATCCTGGCCTGAGAGAGACAAGAGGAGAGGGAGAGTAAGGGAGAGAGAGAGAGAGGATATTATGAGGGGGGAGTTTGTAAGGATTTCACAAAGGTTGCTTCAAGCAAGGATCCAAGTCATCTTCTCTAATCATTATCCTTGGTTCCTTGGAGATTCTAGAGAGGTCTGCTTAAGTAATTGATCGAGGTTTTCTGCCTACTTTGAGAGGAAGAAAAAAGAGTTGGGTTCTCTGCCTGCTTCAGGAGGAAGCGAAAGGAGTCGGGTTCTCTGCCTCACCGGATCGGTGGAAAGGAGGTTTGTACAGGATTCTCCATCTTGTTGTGGGAGAAAAAGGAGAGTCACTGAGTTTAGTGCAATACTCGGAGGAGAGGCTTCGGGGATGGACATAGGTCAAGTTGATCGAACCACTATAAAATTTTGTGTATTCTTTCTTATTGCATTTATTCATTTACTTTCTACACTTTATTTTTGTGGCGAATAATTGATTGCGTTGTTATTGTAAAATATTTCAAAAGATCATGATTTTTTATTTAAGAATTTTTAAAACACCAATTCACCCTTTAAAACCCCAATTCCCCCCCCCCCCCCCCTCTTGGTTAGCATCGGGCTAGTTCACAAGGGCTTAACATCCCTAACAAATTTTCATAATTTAGAACTATTATAGAAATAGAGACTCAAATATGACAAAGATATTTTTTAACACCGTTGTGCTTCAAATCTAGCACCATAGTGCTCACAAGCATAGCGCCAAAGCAATCTAGTTTAAATAGAAATTTAAATATTTATATTTTAAAATACTTTTCATTTTTGGGTTGTCACACAATAGCTCCAAAATGATTATCTTATTAAGCTCAAAGATAATCCTACTTTTTACTCCCTTAACTAAGATTGTTGTATGAAAATCTTACCTTCCTTCATGATTCCATGTCCTCTTGGATTATTCAAAGGTTTAAAGCCAAGTGGCTTTATTGAGGGGAGGATGACTTGAAAATTCTTTTTGGGAGGACAAAGGTAAGGAAAAACTTTAATTATTTTAAAAGAATTTCTACTAATGAGGGAGTGTTCTCCAGTACTAATGGTATCATCCAAGCTTTGACAACTCATTTTAATGGTCTTTTCAATTCTAACTCTTATTGTTCTAACACTCATCCCTTTCTTCTCACTAAGTCTTCCATCCCTCCCCACCTTATTTTATCTTTAATTGCTCCTATTTTTGATGAGGAGATTAGTAAGGTGATTTTTTTTAGTCCCAAATCCTCTATCCCTAGACTTATCTTTAATTTCTCCTATTAAGTTTTCTTCTTTTGCTTGGTTGGCTTTGGTAGATTCAAGACTGCTAATTAGCTTATTCTTAGGAAAATTCCTACTTGGCCTCTTTGCCTCTTTTTATTTCTACTTTCCTAAATCCACCACTCATCTCTTCTTTGAAAGTGATTTCTCCTTTAAAGTTTTGATGACCCTTATTCTTGGGGCTTTTGTTTTCCTTTTTAGGCTTAACATCTTAGAGATCTTTAATCATATCAAAGGCAATTCACAATTTTCTAAAGTTACCAAAAAAAATTCTGCTTAACTGTGCTTCTATATATTCATTATTGAAGGATATAATGCTAATATCTTTAAGTTCCTTCAAAGCTTGATAAAGAAACCGCTAGATGTACTGATGGATGGAGGCAAGGAATTAGTTGATTTTATTAATAATTTTAAGCATGTTATTTTTACTTGTGTTAATAAAGATTGTAAGAAGTTATCTTATTTTTGTGCTAACATTACTCTTAGTAATAACTTTGTTTGGGATGACATTAGTATGGATAATATTCCTTCTCCTTTTCTTGGCTTGTGTTATAAAAGAGGATGTCATCCCTTGGAGTTTTGTACTAAATTGTATTCTTTATTAATTGCTTTGCACTTGCTTATATTGATGAAACTTTCAAAATATATATATATAAATATATTTATATAATATATTATATGGTCTGTGAAATGAATGGAGAAGGAGAAGATATGAGGCACTTTTTCTTGCTTTAATTTTCAATCAATTTTAATTCAAATTAAAAAGCCATTAAGGGCCAAATCATGGTTCTTGGAAGGCATTTTGACAATGTTTATTAAAGAGTTATTGGAATTATATATGATTTTTTTTTTTTTTTTCTCTCTTATATTTTAGGCTCAGATGCTAGTTTGCTGGTTTGTGCTTTCTGCTGTTGCTAGTTGGCCTTCCTTTTTGCTGGTGAAAATTATTTGCTTGGGATAATGATGATGTAGACTTTCTATGTGCCTTCCCTGGTAAGGCCTGGCAATCGGCGTGTGACTTAATTCATTCTTGGTTAAATTTTTGCAGGACGTTCTCTTGCTTCTTGAGTCTGGCTGACCTTCGGGCCTTCATGACTGGTCTTTTCATTTGCTTATTATTTGAGCCTTTTTTGAGGTTGTATCTCAACCTTCAGTCTGTTTTTGGAGCTTCTGGAAAGCTGCCAAAATTTTGTGCTTCCTTCTTTTGTCATTGTCTGCTTTTAGATTTTTGGTTTAACTGCTTTTAAGCTTTTTGTGCCTATTTTTTCTTTCATTTAGGTCTTTTTTATATAATCTATTTTTTTGGTATACTTGTAACTCATTTTCTGTTCAATGAAATGGGCTAGCCCTACAAATAATTCAAAAAAAAAAAAAAAACTTCATCGAACTATAAATTATAGTGAGGAATCTTTCTAAAATGATAAATAAATTAATAGAAAATTGTAATATAGAGAAAGTTTAACACAGCTTTAACCTATGTACAACAAATAATTCTCAACCATGCCATACTTGAAACTCAGAGACTTGATTACTCTGAGGTACTTAGAATACTGCATCGAGCATGAAGAGAGTTGATGCAATATTTATGCATGACATAATTTTCATAAAACGGCAGTCTTTCGATGACCCGGTTAGGAAAATAGATATATTAGATTTAATTTATGTTGAGAAAAGTAGAGGTAGACCTAAAAAGACTTTATCATAAAATATTAGAAATAATCATTCTTTATTAGACTCAGATGAGAATTTGATTCTTAACATGACATAATAAAAAAAAAATGATTCATGTAACTGACCCCACATAGTGGGATAAAAGCCTGTTGTTGTAGTACTTTTTTTTTTTTAATTGGGCTAGTAGGGGTTCATGCCAATAGGGCCCTTGCTATCTGTGCATATGTTGGACCCCGACCCTATTCAATAGTGAAGGCATTCAAGGACGTGCGCATTTTCTCTCTTTTGAGACCATGAGGACGAGTGGCCTCGTGAGAAGAGATTATTAAGTGCGGAGTTCGGATTGGAGCTACATCCGGATTCTGTGAGTGTGCGCAGTAAAAGCATAGTAAAAAAACAATGTGCATAGTAATTGTATTTTTACTGCGCACACTCACAAAATCCGAACAGTTCTCCTGTCCGGACTTTGCACGTAATAATATCTCCCTATTGAGCGAATGAAAAGTAAAGCTCCTCCTCGTGCATTCACTTATAGGTTGGTTGGTGCCGCTACCCCTATCTCCTTCACCAAAAGACAAGGCAGTTGTGCTCAGTTGAATGAAGAGGAGCAACAAGCAATGGCTTATTTGACCGGGAAGTCCTTGAGTATCAGCCAACTTGGGAGCAATGTAATTGTTTTTCTTTCTTTTTTGAATTTTATATAAACTTTTGGCTCACTCTTAACATCAATTATCCTTCCTTGTAGAGGTTGTGCCGAGCTGCTCTGCCCCAACTTGGGTTCTCTATTAAAAACATATTTTCTTTTATTTATTATCTTCAGTAGCCTTTTGAAATTTAAGATTTTAAAGAACTTGATCAGATAAATGGTTCTTTAAGATTAGTAGTATAACAGTGTTATGTTATGGGTTCAAAATCCAAGTGCTTATCATAGAAGGGAAAAGAAGATTTGTATTCATCAAGACCACTAAAAACCATTATAAAGTAATATTCTTGTTTGAAGAATGTTAAAGCTTATTTATACATAATGTATGCCCATTATATTAAAATGACTAATGTTACTCTGCTTTAATCCAGCCTATCCTTGCATAGCTTTCCCTTACAGTTCAAGGCTTCCTTGGGGATAACATTCTTGCTAAATTATTTTTAAGATCGTAATCATAATTTCTATTTGACAATTTTTTTTTCTTTTTTTGAGAAATGCTAAGTAGCAATTAATGGAAAAAAAAAAACAAAAAAAAAACCTAGATACAATCTAAGAAGAGACTAACCACCTATCACACTCTTCCTTTAAAATATGATTAAGGGTAGAGGGAAGGTTGCTCTCCAAAAAAGTGTCCCACACAAATTCAAAAGACAAAGCCAAGTTAGCACAATAATCCGCTAACTTATTACAATTACGTCGAACACAATTGAAAACTACATTATTACATTTGTTCAAGAATAAAAGACCTTCCTCTTCACTATTCTCGCCGGGTTTCCTCTGTATACTGTACAGTTGCTGAAGAAACTTGAGAACATTATGATTATCTCCCTCTATTATAATCCCTTTGGCTATATAAATCCACTCTTGTAACAATTCTTCCACAGCTTTGAAAGATGATAACTCCATACGGGCAATGTCCCAATGTCTTCTTTTCCTTCCAAAAGCTTAAATAAATCTCCCTCCCTTAAGACTCCTCCTATCCCCGCATCATAGTTCTCTTTGAGAGAAGCATCCAAATTCAACTTTAACCACTCAGGTGGAGGGGGATGCCAAAAATCTAAGAGCAGCCCATTGGGCCGATAAGCACCCCAGTGATCTGAGCGATACACACCTTGATTGGAAGAACTGAAAAAGCTAATAACAGAAGCCGCAATCACCTCAGCACTACAACCAGAACTCCCATGTTTCACCTTGCATCTGTTGTTCCAAACAAACCAAACACTCAAGGCATATATCTGGGCTGTTAAATCATTTTCCGCAGTCATATTCTACATACCCTGAATCCATTCGGTGAAGCTGCTGAAAACAGGGATTTTAAGCCCCCATCTCCTAAGCACATTGTTTACATTTACCAGAATTACACAAGAGGTTGTAATATGATCCAGCTTTTTAGTTTCATCACACCCAATTGGATAGAGGATGCATCCCGAAATCCTTCTTTTAAACAAAAAAAATTCAATAGGAACAGCATCATTACAGATACGCCAAAGAAACAGTTTAATTTTGGCATTAATCTTCAATTTATGCATCCAGATTATATCATCATTTGCCACAATATCTTTGTATCTACTTTCAATTAATAAAGCAGATAAGGATTTACCCGTTAATTGCAGCCTTAGCTCCATTTGATCTTCACAAAGAGAATCAAAAATCTGTACATCTTCAATCAACCTTACCAGATCCTCCCCAAAGAAGGTTCTGAGCTTGGCTTCAACCCAGTAACCATTCTCAATGAAAAAATTCAGCTTCAAGTCTTCATCTTCTACATTACCCACAAACGTGGGCCATTTCAATAAACTTTTTTCCATAATCCAAGCATCCTTTAAAACATCTATGTTATCCCCATTAACCACCTTCCACCTTAGGAAACTTTTAAGAACTTTCCATCCACTCATCATGATCTTCCAAGAATTAGAACCACTTCTAGTTCCCTCCCTCTTCCACCAGCTTTTACCATATTTTGCTATAAAGTTCCTGTTAAACAGAGAATTAGGATTCTCAATTGAATTCCAAGCGAATTTGGCTCGAAGCGGTCCCATTCTATCCACCACAGATTGAACACCCCAACCACCACACTCCTTGGGTCGATAAACCACTTCCCAGCTCACAGAGTGTAAGCCACGGCCTCCATCCATTTTGTTCCAAATAAAATCTCTACAATGTCTTTCTAGCTCAAATAAGATTCACTTGGGAACCAGTGAATGAGCAATCAAGAAAACTGGGAGAGCAAGAAGCACAGATTTCACCAACACAAGCCTACCAGTAAGAGAAATAAGCTTGTTCCCCCACGCATTGAGCCGTTTCAAGGATTTATCCAGAAGCATTTGGAAGTCAGCCTTCCTTAACCTTCTTAAAGCCAATTTAACCCCTAGATACTCCGGTTCTTCTTCCACTTTGATCCCCAGCAGCTTTGAAATTTTTCTCTTCCTTCTTCTACACACAGCCTTCCCGCAAATCAAAACAGATTTTTGCTGATTGATAGATTGCCCTGTCCACTTACAATAGTCACCCACAATGCTCCACATCTTCTTAACATTCTTCAGTTTGGCATCTGAAAACAGCAGCACATCATCTGCATACAACAAATGAGTGATCTTGGGAGCTTTAGCACAAATCCTAATTCCCAAATTCGGTCCATTCACAAAAAAGGCATTAGAGAGTAACTGTGAGCACATAATAAACAAGATTGGAGAAAGAGGACAGCCCTACCGAAATCCACTCTTACCATCAATCCACAAAGAATTATTCCCATTGATAATAATAGAGAATCTAGGATCTGAAACACAATCCATCACCAACCCAATAAAGCTGCTCGGAAAACCCAATTCCACCATCATTTTCTCTAAGGTTAACCAACATATACTATCGTATGCTTGTTCCATATCCAATTTAACAGCCATATACCCATTACAAGCTTTTGAAAATCTAAGCTTGTTAAAGACCTCTTGAGCTAATAACAGATGATCAGAGATGGATCTCCCCTTCACAAAAGCCACCTATTCTTCAGAGATGATCTTAGGAATCACCATTAACATTCTATTTAAAATTACTTTAGCAACAATTTTATAAATAGAATTGAATAAACTAATGGGTCTAAATCCAGAGGGCGAAAGAGGATTAGAATATTTAGGAATCAACACTACTAAAGTGTCTTTCCACTCTTTGCACATCTTCCCTAAAGAGAAGAACAAACGAACCGCCTTGCAAAAATCCTTCTCAATAATCTCCCAATATCCTTTGAAAAAAGGGTGAGTCAACTCGTCACAACCAGGAGATTTGTTATTTCCCAACCCCATAATAGCGACCTTAATCTCTTCCAGCGAAATTTCTTTTTCTAGCAAAGCCTTCTCATCATTATCCAGAACAGCCCACGGTTTTGGCCAGTTAACCAACCTGCAGCTTCTATTTCTCCATTTGCTTTTGAAAAATCTGAGAAAAATTTCTTCCACTTCCCTGGGGTCTTCGGAAATCTCACCATTATCATTCTTTACTTGGCAGATCCACTTAGCATTTCTTCTTCCATTAGCAAAGGCATGGAAGAACTTTGTATTAGCATCCCCTTCTTCAACCTATTTCATTTTTGCTCTTTGTTTCCACCAAGTATTTAAGCACTTTAGAATAACATTTAACTCTTTAACTTTAGATCTCAACAACCAAACCTTTTCATTATCCAACTTTCCCTCCCTAGCTTCAATTTCCTGGATTTGTAGAATTTCAGCTTTTAATCTATCCTTCTCGGCTGTAAAATTCTTTAGCTTGTATCTACTCCAATAATACAATTTATTCAAAGCTCTTTTACACTTCTTATTGAGCACCTCCATGTCATTTCCCACATAAGATTTCTGCCACCCTTTATTCACAATAGTAGCAGCAGTCTTGAAAGAAAGCCAAACATCCTCAAATTTAATACTACTCTTCCTTGTATCCTTATACTCCAAATAAATCCAGCACAATCGGACAGTGATCAGAAGCCACTCTTGCTAAATGTCTTTCCACCCCAAGATGAACAAGATCTGAAGCCAAAGAGTTTAATAAACATCTATCCAACCTTTAAAGGATTCTCCCCCCACCAACCTTATTGTTACAACAAGTATATCTAGGCCCTAGGGCCTACCACCCTAACATCATGGTAATCATTCTCATACATAAAAGAAGACATCTCCAAGGGACCTTGAGAAAAAGCAAACTTCCTACCACCCTTCTTATCTTCTTGTGATAAAATGCAATTAAAATCTCCCCCAATAACATAAGGAAGATCTCTATGCGACTGTTCCCCAATACACTCCCACAGCTTTCTTCTTTTATGAACATCCTTACTACCATACACGGTAGTAATCATCCAAACACCCTTATTAAAGACATTGAGATCACCAATAACACATTGATCTAATGTCTTTATAACTGAAAAAGAAGCCACATCACTCTTCCATAAGATCATAATACCTCCTGACAGACCTTCAGAAGGAACTAAAAAGAAATCCCAAGCATGACCCATAAACTTCACAAAATCAGCCTTATCAAAAGAACTAATTTTAGTCTCCACCAACCCAAACAAAAAACACCTTGTAATCTTTAATAAATTCCTTCAAATAGAGAGAGGCTTCACTCTTCCTAACCCCTCTACAATTCCAAAAGGCTAAAGATCCCATCAACCTTTTTTGGGGGAAGAGCCCCCAACCTTCTTCCTACTACCTCCATCACCAATCCTTCCTCTAGTGTTAGCTGAAATGGGCCCCAAAGATCTAATCTCTTTAGCCAACTTACTCTTAGCCACATCCCCATTACCACTAGTAGCTTTCTCACCCCGACTACGACTTCCATCATTAGCAGAATTATCCAAAATTCCTTTAGACAACAAAGCCCCCTTCCTGACATTAACCCCATCTTCATCTCTAATTCCAACAACAGCTGTCTTCTCAGAGTTAACAAATAAGAACCCATCATCCATATCTTCTCTTAACAAAATCTGAAATCTATTTTCATTAATTTGACAAGGATTAGAGTTGAGTGAAGAAACCATACCCTTTTTCAAGACGTCCTGGCCAAATTTATTATCAATAAGATCCAGATTAAGATCTGAATTCTCCAACCCCTTAGTGTCCTCCATTTTCTCCATCGCTGTATCTATCACACCTTCTTCAAGCTGATTAACCTTCTCCTCTAACATCTTCTTAGTAGTAACAATGTCATCCTGGTCTTCAGCAACTTCTTTAGAAATTTCCCTTTCTACTATCTACTTTTTAAGAACCTGATTAACATCTGTCTTCTTCCAAATTCTCTTCACCAAAGGCTGTTTTCTACAGTTTTTTCTGTTTACCGTAATCCAGGGACCATAATTAGCACAGTTATTTTCTTCAATCTGTATTTTCACCCCTTGCACATCCTTTGCACTTCCGTTTCCACCATTGATGTCCAGATCCCTTAAACTCCTTTTACATTCTGTTTTTAAATGTCCCACCATCCCACAATCATAGCAAAAAGATGAGATTCTCTCATATTCAACTCTTTGAAAGAATCTTCCTGAAATGCTTTCCACCCAAACTCTAGTAGGTAGGCTTTGATCAAGCTTGACCCTTACGCAAACTCTAGCAAATTCCCGCTTACCCCATTGGAATAAGTTTCCATCCAACATAAGTGGTCTTCCAACCATTGCAGCAATCCTTGCCATGTTGACCTCATCCCAACATTACAAGGGTAAATGAGGTAATCTAATCCATATTGGTGAGGTCAGCTCCTTCAAAGACAATGTAGAGAATTCAGGTGTCCAACATTCCATTTCTATAATGTGACCATTCACAAACCAAGGTCCTCCCATCAAAACTCCATCCATCATCTCAACCGAACCAAAACAGCACAGAAACCATCCTTTCCCAAGAGTAGTAAAATGGGAAGTTGCCATACATCTTCCACTGCCGCCTCACATCCCAAGCAACCTGATGGGAGGGGATCTCCTTCCCAAACACTTTAATAACCAATGAATTCCTGAGTTTATTAGAATTCAAAATCTCCATATCATCTCTTAGTTTAACAGCCATACCATCTTCGGACATCACCAAATCCTCATCCTTAAAATCCAGCTTGATATACGATTTCTTCTTCCAGGGATTCTCATGATCCCTCGCCCCATTTCTATCAGTCATTGCATCATTCATCTTACCTCCATCATTATTTCCTTCCGAACCCAAACTGCCAATAATATGAGAATTTTCAAATTTAGAATTGCAGGTAGTCGCATTTATCCTTGTGCGATCAGGGATTGCAATTGACATCCCAAACCTATTAACGAAAATTTTCATATCAGAGGAAGAGGCCGAAAGAACATTGGAATCAAGATTTCGAAAAACTTGAGCACTTCCGGAGAACCAGTCATTCTATCAATCGCAACTTCCTTACCGTTGCCTTCAACATCAAAAACCTTCTTGGGGTTCTCTTCAATAGATTCTCTGATAATCAACTGACCTTTCGATCGATTCCCCATCAAACCTTCTGATTTCTTAAAACCAGAAACTCCATCCTGAACACCTTTCTCCGCCAAGATTTGTAGCTTGCCATTACCTTTGGCATTTCTAATCTCTACCGCCTTCGAAGAAGGCCGGCGGCCATCCATAAACTCCTCCCCCGCCAATTCCGCGAAGAACGGAACAGAGAACCGAGAAGCAAAATTTGAAAAATATGACTCTCTCTAAAATCTTGAAGCTTCTCTCTCTAAAATCTTCTCTCTCGAAAAATTATCAATTATTTTTTGCTATAAAGTTATTTTCTACAATAACTTTCAAAATAAAAAATTTCATAAAAACTTTGTAACTACCTTTATAAAAATTAAAGACATTCAAAACAAACCCTAAATATGAAAACAAAACAGCATTTGTGAAACTTGAGGTTTGGTTTGGGACTGCTTTCAATTTTTTAGTATAAAAATTATAATTCAAAAAATTTTTGATTAAAAAAACTATTTTAAAAAACAATAATAAACTATTCCAAACGAAACCTTATCTTCACTACAGCTGAATCTCTAAAAGCTGTTGCAAAGAAGCAGCTTTTAAAACCTTTCAAGGACAAAAAAATCCTATGAAGCATGGCTAAAGCATCTTAGCAAATTCACATCTACAAAACTCCGAAATTCTAATAATCAACAGCAAAATCTTCACAAACCTTTTCAAGTATTCCATTTTTCACTCATCTATATGCGAGGCATGATGAATGCACATAAACCATTGACCATCTATCTTCTCAAACACATTGGTTGCAACTTGTTTACCCCAACTGCCACCTTTGGTCTTCACCACCTCCATACAGGTCACATACCCAACATTTCCTCTAACATGAACCTCGACATCCTTCAAATCAATCTGAATGGGGAATTCATGATCAGCTCCACAAACAATCTCCCAGCTATCAGTTACTAGCTCATAGCCAGATATCCTGCCTGCCGTTGGATGAACAACATAAACATGATCTTCTTTGGCCCAGATTGATTGCATGGCTGCCAGATCTCCATTCCTAAAAGCATGGTAGAATCTGGCATTGGCTGAAAGGACTGAAGCCTTGCTGTCTTCATGGATCACTTGGAGATTGTCTCTAAGTTTTGCTGCATGAGCATAGTCTTCGTCTTCGATTGCTTTATCGAGTTGCTGCTGCAAAGTCTGCTCATCAAATAGTATTTCTTCGGTGCTCGATTTTCCCTCTGCCTCCCCACTTTTAACATTGGGAGATAGCCATGAATGAGAGCTTGAATTTCTGTGAAGGGGAGCTGTACTGGAGCATAAGAAAATCATTAAGTATTTGGAGTATAAGTATGCCTGCATAATGCTGCTTTGCATTTACATATTGTATGGTATGGGAGTGCTAAAAGTTGAAATCCTCAGATATGGAATCCTCCAGTTGGACAGCAGGTTTATAGTTACAATGAGAGTAGAGATATATATATTTTTTGCACTTAGAATTCATGAAAGATACTTGAAGTAGAAGAAACGAACCAGGCCTCTAGCTCTCACCCTTAAAACTGAATTACTTGCACCCCTTGATGTTTCAAACACTATAGATATGAAGGAGCCGCCAACTTATGAGAAAGAGAGAAGCTTTGACATAAGTGAACTGCATATTGAATTAAATGCTTTCTTAGGCTGAAAAACTCTCCCGTTGTAATGGCAGGAACTAAACAAATTCTAAGCTATAAGTGGTTGCATATGATGAGGATTTGCCAAAGTCAAGATGTGAATTTCACATAAAGGGCGTGGGGGGTTAACCATATTATCCCCTTGATATTTGGCGTGGATCAGCCACCCCCTACAAGGCTGCACTTTGTTTAGCCACTTTTGTTTCCTTCTAGATTAGATTCCTTATGACCTTGTATACAACTCATAACACTCAGACTAATGCTTCATTTGGGACAACTTTCTTGATGCTTTTCAAAATAGTTTTTTGGTATAAAAATTTTTAGTTTATGAAATTATTGTACTAAAAAAATGCTTTAAAAAGCAATAAAAAAGTTATCTCAAAAGAAACCTAAGTTGCACGGACACGAACATGACACAACACGAACATAGGGTACTTCAATTATTAAAAATATAGAACAAGTGAATAATATATATTTTATATGATACAAAACCTATTTCTGTGAAGATCCATTTTGATAATGACAAAGATTTCTACATACCCAACAAAATTGATCAATAATATCAAAATCCGATAAATCGGTCCATATTGATTTACTAATAAGTTGACCCAATACAGTACAAATTGAGCAAATAACTAAGACAATGGTATCTAATTTCTTACTAAGAGTACTTATTAGAAATGAATTCACTAGCATTTGATTTCTTACTATCAAAGGATTTTTCAATATACTTGAAAAGAACCTAAGAAAAGAGGACTAGTTGGATAATTGCTTTTTATAGATCCTAAAGGTTGAAAACAAAAGTGAAAATAAGATTGTCAAAAATTGACAAGATGAAATTTCCATTTCTTCATCAGAATAAGAGTTCCTTTTGAAGCAAAAATCACTTTTCCTTGATATCGAACAAAATCTATGAAAGTATCTTGGAGGAATCATAGGATCCATTGAAAAAAATTACAACACACGACTATAAGATATTCTATTTTTTTGATAGAAATATGTTCGCTCAAGAAAGACTACAAAAGATATTGATCATAAATAAGAAGACTGTAAGATATTCTATTTTTCCATAGAAATATATTCGCTCAAGAAAGACTACAAAAGATATTCGCGTTCATATATTAAGAATTATGTAGGAACCAAAACAATATTTTCTTTCTTTTTGAAAACATGTTCATGAATTTCATTGAGATAAAGAGACATTCATGGAAAAACAATCACAATAAATGCGAAGAAGGAACATCTTTGATCCAACATTGAAGGATTTGAACCAAGATTCCCAGATGGATGGGTTGGGGTGTTAGTAGATCTGACACATATTTTAAATGTGATAATTTCTCATCTAAAAAGGGAAATATTGAATGAATAGATCGTAAATTCTGAAATTTTGTTATTCTTTTTTCTTCAAGGGAAGATATTAATCGCAACGAGAATGAAATTTTCATAACAACTAAAAAACCTCTTTATACCATTTGAGAAGAAAAATGAGAAAAAAAAAATCTTGTGCCCCAAAATTCATTTGGTTAATAATCTAAAGAACTCAAGGATTTCTGTTAATATATTTGAGTAATTAAACATTTCATACGTACTCAACTAGATTTTTTTTTTAAAAAAAAGTACTCAACTAGATTTATTGTCATAACCCATAATTTTCACAGATTCGTAAAATATCAAATTATTGAAGCTATGATAATGATCAACACTGCCATTAAAGGTCCTAAGTCATGAATGAGAAAAATAAAGTGTTGTGTTAGGTAGTTGACTAACAACATAAAACTTGTCGAATAATCATGACACGAATCATTTAATACATTGTGTCAATGCTAGGGCGTTCCCTAGAAGCGAAGACGCACTATATGACCTGAATACAGTAAGAAGTGTGCAAGGGTCATTGCATCAGTCCCCGAATGCAGTATTAAATAGGTAAGGGTTCCCACATCATGGACGGATGTGGGCAAAGAAGCTAGTCCATGAAACTAAAATTAAGTTAGGATCGTGGAATGTAGGTTCCATTACAAGCAAATAAATGGAATTAATTGATTTTAAGATTCATAGGAAGATAAATATTCTATACATCCAGGAAACTAAATGGGTGGAAGAGAAGACTAAGGAGATTGATAGTTTAGGATTTAAACTTTTAGGAGTCATCCTAGAAATGGTGTAGGTGTAATTATAGATAAGAGCATGGCTTTAAAAGTCGGATCGGACCGTCCGGTTCCGATTTGCTTCAAAACCGGTATTACATAGAGCCGGCTCGGAACCGTTCGAACCGGCGGTTCGAACGCCGAACCGTAAAACTGGTCCCGATTTACGATAACTGGTCGGCTCATCTATGAAAAATTTTGAACATTTCACTGAACATTGGACGGCTCAAGGAAGCTTATACGAAACGAAAGAAATAAAAAACCCTACCATCATTCGACTGGTCGTCTCGGTTCGCATCTTCTTCCCCAATTCTCTTGCTCGTTAGCGAAGCCAACGGATCCCTTCCAACCAGGAAGTCTTCAGCATCAGTGGCGGCGATGGATCTTCCTCATCTCGGTCTTATAACCTTCCGCCTCCGGCTTCCTTCTCACAGGCTTTTTCATTCATCAACTCCGAATTCTACACTCCACTTCCGAGGGAGCAAGCGCCAAGGTGAGACTGTTCTTCAATCTGTTTGTTGTTTGTCTATTTTTCATTCCATTTTTTCATAAATATTTTGCTTGCTTGTATTCGATTCGTGTTTTAGGGATCCGAATCGTAATTTTTTTTTTTTGTTTTTTTTTTACTATTTAGATATTTGTTTTGACATCGTTAGATTGAGATTTCTTTTCTTGATGTTTTTTGCTTCCCTGACTATTTTTCTTTATAGAAATCGACGATTTTTGGGATTTTTTATGCCTGCTAAAGTGTGTTGTTGGGCGAAATTGCAGTAGAGGTACTAAGAGGGATTACAACACTGCAATCCTTGAGAAGAAAAAGGCCCCGAACCGTCTGATCGTTGACGAGGTTGTTAATGATGATAATTTCGTTGTCTCCCTGAATTCGCTAACGATGGAAAAGCTGCAGATGTTTAGAGGGGAAACCATCCTCTTGAAAGTAAGCATTTTTCATCTAGTTTTTTTTTTTTTTGCATTTTTCTTAAATTTTCTTTGTTATTCTCCGCGTCTTAGGTCTTGTTATACTGTTTTTGTAGTCTTTAGGGTTTATATTTTGATTTTGTTTTCTTGGTTGATGCGGAAGGGTTTCTTATTCATTGTTGATTTGAAATTTTGAATCGTATATTCAGCCTGGTCTACTAGGTTAACATAGAGAGGGAGAGATGAAGAGAGAGAGAGAAAGAGAGAGTATATTTCTGACAGATTTTAGTCTTATTAATTTGATATGGATATCAACAATTTGATTTCTGTGTTTGGTGTTTACTGCTATTGTCATCCATTAGTTATATTTTGTTTCTAAAGAACAAAACGATAGACTTTATTATAGTTACAATGCAAGATTTGTTGTACAAAATTATTCCTGCATATGTTTTTTTAAACTGCATTATTTTTAATTGAGGCTGATTGACCTAATCAAGATATTATTGATTAATATGATATAAAAATGGAATGTAGAGGGGTGGTATTAGAGAAAAATCTTTCATTCATTTTATAAATTTTAATAACATTATTATTTATTACGTTATCCGGTTCGACCCCGGTTCTACTGGTCGAACTGTGAACCTCTCCTTTCGGTTTATTGTCCGGTCCGATTTTCAAAACCTTGGATAAGAGTTTGAAAGATAATGTTGTAAAAATTGATTGAAATGGAGATAAAACTGTAGCTTTGATGATTATTGTTGATGATAAAATTATTAATATTATAAGGGTTTATATTCCTCAAATAGGTTTAGATATATACTCAAAATAAAAAATAAAAAATGACTTAAGAGAATTAGTACAAAAGATATCTCTTGAAGAAAGAGTTTTTATTGGGGAGATTTAAATGGACATATTGGTAGAGAGTACAAGATGTTAAAGCATTTATGATGGCTATGAGTTTGGAGTAACTAATGAAGATGGTAAGACTATATTAGATTTTGCTCTATCTAATGATTTTGTTATTGTCAATTCATTATTTAAGAAAAGATATGAGCATCTCATCACTTATAAGAATGGATATAATAAAACTCAGATTGATTATTTTTTGTAAGAAAACTAGATAATTTAGATTGCAAATATTGTAAAGTTATTCCAAATGAAAATTTATGTACTAAACACTTCTTATTAGTTTTGGACTTTAAGATAAGGACAACAGTATGAAAAATAAAATATATCGTTGTTCTAGGATTTGATGTTGGCATTTAAAGAACTTTAACAAAAATATCTATGAGAGTAAGATTCATGATCTTAAGATTTTGTCGATACATGAGGAAGCTAATGTTATGTGAAAAATAGTAGTTTATAATATTAAGAATGTTGCAAATGATGTGCTAGGAGTATCAAATAAAAAAGCTTTTAATAGTAAAACTAGTTGATAGTGGAATCAAAATGTGCAAGAAAAAATAAAAAATAAAAAATTCTGCTATAAAAATTGATTTAAATATAAAAATTCAGAAAATTAGGAAAAATATAAAGTTGCTCATAAGGAGTCTAAGAAAACATTCTATGATGCAAAA